TTTATTTTCTAAAAACACAGAGAACTGTTCTTCTCTAAAAACACAGAACTGTTCTTTTTATTTTCTAAAAACACAGAGAACTGTTCTTTTCTAAAAACACACATAGAACAGTATTTTTAAAAAACACAGATAATTATTATTTTCTAAAAACACAAGAGAACTCTTATTTCCTAAAAAAAAAATAAAACACAACCACCAAGTTTTCTTCTTCATCTCTGATGATCAAAACGAAGAGAGTGACCAAACAGCTCTGATCATCAGCCTAACCCACGTTTCATCTGTGATTGACAGCCGTCATGAGCTGAAGCAGAGCATGATGGGATTAGTCTCTGTCAGGATCAGACTCCTATTACTGAAGCAGGAATTATGTTCAACATAATGGTACTTCCTCCAGTTATTTAACAGTCAACAATGGTGTACCACAAGGCTCAGTCTTAGGACCCACCCTCTTTACAATCTACATACATAATGTAGGTCAGAGCATCCCTGATGCATCCATACATTTCTATGCTGACGACACAGTTGTTTATTGTCGAGCTAAAACTGTTGCTAAGTCTTTCCAGCTTTTGAAATCTGCATTCAACAACATCCAGACTGATTTGTTCCGCCTCAAACTTGTCCTAAATGCTGATAAAACCAAAGGGATGCTTTTTTCAAACAGGAAGTCGGTCCCAGCAGTTCTTCCTCTGATTTTATCCTCAAATGGTGTCCCCATTGAGTTTGTTGATTCCTATAAATATTTGAGTATCTTGGTCGACTCACATCTTTCTTTTAAGCTCCATGTGGAAAACTTGGTAAAGAAACTGAAAGTTAAACTGGGTTTCTTTTTCAGAAACAGATCCTGTCTAACCCTGAACCCTGAGGAACACCTTGTATCTGTGACTTTCCTTCCCTCCATTGATCACGGTGACATTATTTACATGAACGCTCCTACAAGAACCCTGCAGATGTTGGATGCTGCAGATGTTGGATGCTGCAGATGTTGGATGCTGTCTATCATGGTGCACTAAGATTCATAACTGGCTGTAACTACCGTACCCACCACTGCACCCAGTATTCACTGGTTAACTGGTCACCATTAACTTCTCACAGACTCTCCCACTGGTACATTTTCATCTTTAAACCACTTCCTGGTCTGCTGCCTTCATACATCTCCTCCTACATGTCTCTGAGTGAGTGGCTTCAAACGTCTGAAAGAACCAGCGCAGACATGTTCCTGTCTTTAGTTTTCTACATCGCCTTATAATCCAGATGTTTTTGTTTTGCGTTTTTAATTCCATTTTCTTTCACTTGTTCTTCTCAACTTCTACACGTCCTTTTATGATTGTCCACTGTCGTCATCAGTCTCTGTTTAAACGAGTCCTCGAGGCTCAGTGAGACTAACCTGGAGAAACAAAGGTTGAATCATCAACACTGAGGAAAATCTATTTGAACACGTTTAAGAAACTTCCATAGTCCCAGCTCCTGCAGACTTGGAGCACAGGTGAAATGTTGCAGAACCAGCTGTCAGTTCCAAACATGCTGTAATAAAAATGTCTCTGAAAACAGAATGAAATGGAGAAAAGCCGCAGGAACCCAACGCATCAAACTGAAAGTAATTGTAAAAATGATGGAGTAATTGTGAAAGTGATGGCAGCACCATGTGTGTTTAAAGTTGGACCGGGCGTCAGGTCCGGATGAGAAGCAGCTGCAGGAACATTTGGTCTGTGATGAGCGATGGAGCGTGTCTGACACAAACTGAGCCTCATCACACACATGGAACAGGCCCAAGGACTCAGGGACTACTTTCTGCTGCGGACTGACACACCGTTCCTCCTTTGATGGAGGTGTCGGTTCACCGTCCTCCTGCTGCTTCTTCACATCTAAAAGCTGAACTTTAATTTGATTCTTGCCGATAAGGTCAAAGGTGACGGTTATAAAAACAACCGTGGCTTCATCTCAACCCTCGTGGAGGAACAAAACATCCATTCAGCTGGTGGCTGCTCGCCTGTTACCATGGAAACCAGGATGAAAGGACACCACAGTGGGTTGTGAGGAGATGCTCATTACGTCCGTCTGATTCGAGGATTACCATGGAGCCCAGCGAGGGGGCGGAATGCAAATACACCCCCGCCCCTCCTCAGTCTGTGGGTCTAAACCAGGTTCGGGTGTTTAGCGGTTGAAAGGTGCGTCACATTCTCAGATCCAGTCCCTCCTGACGTCACAGAACTTCTTGCAAGTTCTAACCACGTCCCATTGGACTCTGTTCCTGATCAACAGAAGCTTCAGCCCTGTGGATAGCGGTCAGAGCTGTCACCTCACAGCAAGAAGGTTGCAGGTTCGCTTCCCGGCATTTCTGTAGGGACTACATGTTCTCCCCGTGCGTGCTGTCTCCAGTGGGTCTCCACTCGGCTCTCGTCCCCCCGTTCTTCTCCAGAGGAGGGATTAGTCACTGGGACTTGATTCTCCGCACTGTGGGCGGGACCGTATGTGGGCGGGACACCATCTATCCATGATGGATGAATAGACAGATGGATGGACAGATGGATGTACAGATGGATGAATGGACAGATGGACGGATGGATGGATGGACGGATGGATGGACGGATGGATGATGGATGGACAGATGGATGGACGGATGGATGATGGATGCTGGATGGATGGACAGATGGATGGAGCACCCCTGATAGTTGAGGCCACGTTGGCTCACCTGGTCTAGACCAGGTTCCTCTGGTCAGGTGGTCTCTAACAGGACACCGCCCCTCCAGCTGACAGCAGATCAGTGTAGCGTGCCGGGCGCCACGCCGCCCTACCACCGTCCTGCAGTACGGTCTGGGCTGAGGACAGACTTGAAGTGACTAAAAACTGAATCATGTTTGACCAGAGTCGTCCTCCTTCAGTTCAGAACAAAAACTAATCGGGTCTTCATCCAGAACCAAACTGGTTCAGAAACACACCCCAGGTTCCACCAGGTCGGTATTTACTAAACAAAAACAGAACCTCAAAACCAGGACATCAGCAAAGACAGACGGCAGACCCTCTTCACAGCAATCTCACCCCAAAGGTCGGACTGTGCAGTCCAGGTGCCGTCCACACAAGAACACGTCCCAAACGGATGTTTCCTGATGAACACGGTGCAGGTTCTTCATCCGTCCACACAGAACCAGGAAACATCCGGACACTGAGGTATCAGGACTGGACCCTGCAGTGCCAGGCTTCTGCCAGACCTGAGTCCAGACCTGAGTCCAGACCTGAGTCTAGACCTGAGTCCAGACCTGAGTCCAGACCTGAGTCCAGACCTGAGTCCAGGCCTGAGTCCAGGCCTGAGTCCAGACCTGAGTCCAGGCCTGAGTCTAGACCTGAGTCCAGGCCTGAGTCCAGACCTGAGTCCAGGCCTGAGTCCAGACCCGAGTCCAGGCCTGAGTCCAGACCCGAGTCCAGGCCTGAGTCCAGACCTCCCAACTCTCAACACGTTTCATTTAAAGACAAGAACTTTTCTCTCAGTGTGGAAGTGTTTTTGCAGAGATGTTTCAAGGTTCCAAAACCTCCACCGTGTCTCCTCAGAAGTCCTGCAGGAACTCAGGACGTCTTCTGTAAAAGTCTGAGCTGGGACAAGGCAGGCTCTTATTTTGAAAGATTTATTTTGAAACTTCCTGTTTGTTTTAGATGTAAACTCTGCAGAAGCTTGAAGGATCCATGATGGACCATCACAGACCCTGCTGTGTTGCCATGGTAACTCCCACCTTTCTCTGACAGAGGGAGGAGGCGGAGCTTACAGCCCCTCCCTGTATCAGACAGAACTGCAGAGTAAAAAGTGAGCCTCAGACCAACAGTCTCTGTGTGAAAACTAGAACTTGTTGACCCGTGAGCAGCAGGAGGTTCTGACGGTCCCACAGGTTCTGTTTGAAGGTTCTACAGGGTCTGATGGAGGACACATGACCTTCACTTCCTGTTTGGAAGTCAATGGAGTTTGGGTGTGTGACCTGAGAGGACACCATCAGTCCTCCAGCAGAGACACTCGGGGTGGACGAAGACAGAAAGACTGAAGACATGAAGGAGACGTCATGAGACTGGAACCAGAACTTTCTGTGTCCCGTCAGTCCAGTCCTCCATGGTCACCTGTGGCTGTGCAAACAGAACTTCAGTCCTGGACAGTCCAACTTCCTGTGACCCGGTTAGACTCTGCTGGTTCTGAAGGCTCAGCTGCAGGTCCACACAGGACTGGGACTCTCTGGGGACAGGGCTCAGGTTCTGCAGCAGAACTCGTGGTTCTGATGGAGACGTTCTGCAGCTACAATCACCAAACAACAAGCCAGATGTTCTGCAGCTGGATCACCATGCAGGGGTGTGCGCGCGCACGCGTGTTGCTATCTGGCTCAGACTGACCCACTTTCTGCTGAAAAACGAGCTGCTGCCTCCAGGCCCGAACCCCCGGAACCCCCACCCCCAAACACGCGCGCGGCGCTGAATGAGTCGGTTCTGCTGCCCAGAACAGACCCCCCCCCAGCCGAACCTCCTCACCTGGACGGAGCAGAGCAGAACCCCGATGAGGACCAGCATGGTGCGGGGTTCGGTGCGGGTCTCGGGTCCGGCCTGGTCTCGGATCAGTCTGCTGCGCGTCCAAACAAAGAGCAGATGCTGATCCGGTTCGGTCTGCGGCTCGGTTCCGCTCTAACACTTCATCTTCATCCTCCTCCTCCTCAGCAGAACCGGACCCCCTGGGACCGGGAGGAAGCGGACCGGACTGCACGGTCCATGGTTCGGTCCGTGTCGGCGACAGGTCGGGATGAAGCAGATGCTGGTTCAGCGAGGCCCCGCCCTGATCCGGAAGCCCCTCCCCCCCACCTTCTCTTCATCATCATCATCATCATCATCATCAGGCTGCGGAGGATTCAGTTCAATTTATTTATAAAACTCTAAAATCACAACAACATCATCACAAACATCCAAATAAAATAATAATTAACAGAAACATTCAAATATAAAATAATAATTGAACAGAAACATTCATGTATAAAATAATAATTTAACAGAAACATTCATGTATAAAATAATAATTGAACAGAAACATTCATGTATAAAATAATAATTTAACAGAAACATTCAAATATAAAATAATAATTGAACAGAAACATTCATGTATAAAATAATAATTTAACAGAAACATTCATCTATAAAATAATAATTGAACAGAAACATTCATGTATAAAATAATAATTGAACAGAAACATTCATGTATAAAATAATAATTGAACATTATTTATCTGAGGAGCAGCTTTGAGTTTAACTCCATCACTGAACTCTCATCTTGAGCAAGCATGAAGGCGACAGTGGAAAGAAAAACTCCCTCATGAGGAAGAAACCTTTAGCAGAACCAGGATCAGGACAAGAGGACCATCTGCTTCGACCGGCTGGGTTTGGTAGGAATAGATACACAATGGCAGGTCAAGAATCACATGTTAAGATAGAAATAGTATCAAATGAAACTATTCAATTTTAACAATTCATTTAAGGAAGTGAGGTCAGTTTGTCCTCTAGTAGTCTAAGTCTATAGCAGCATAACAAGCTGACCCTAACTATAGGATTTATCAGAAAGGAAAGTCTTAAACTGGACAATGTGTCAGCCTCACGGACAGAAACTGGAAGTTGGTTCCACAAGAGAGGAGCCTGAGAACTGGAAGATCTTCCTCCCATTCTGCTGCTGGAAACTCTAGGAACCACAAGTAAACCTGCAGTCTTAACATGTGATTCTTGTGATTGTTACATGGGGGTGTAGACCTGTTACATGAGGGGGGTACACCTGTTACATGAGGGGTGTAGACCTGTTACATGGGGGGTGTAGACCTGTTACATGGGGGGTGTAGACCTGTTACATGGGGGTGTAGACCTGTTACA